TCAATACTGTTCACCCAGCCAATTGCTTTACTGATCATACAGTTATTTTATGAGCTAGTTACAGATCAGTGAAATACAAAATACACTTGCAATATTTACAGCTTTCAAATTCTTCTGTTTCAAAATGTCTTCTTACTCAGGAGGGAAACAGGAAGGAAAACTAATAGCAGAATCATTTACAAATTTCTGGGAAGAAATGTAAGCTCTTAAAATAGAAACACTGTCTGCTTATTAGCACATTTTTTGAAAACAGCAGAAGCCCACAATCTTCACCATCAAACTCAAAGCAGGACCAAGTAGCCAATGGAGTGAAAATGAAAACACCTGCCAGAAGTGTTAAAAATAAAGATAACACCCATATATTCCAGATAAAATCTGAAATGCTTTAGCAAAGCTATGCTGCACCATTGGTGCTGGTTGTTTCTTCAATGCTGGAAATGTATTGGCATGGACGGGGGCTCCAGTTTTGGATCTTCAGGCATAACCAGACTTGGTCAAGAACACACTGACACCAAACCACTGCTAGCCCACACTTCTCATTGGTGAGAGATGGTAACAGAGGCACTGGTAGTGGCAGCCAATGGAAGCTCACCTACATACCTGCACAGTCCTCTGTTCTCTTTTCTGAGACTTTCTGCCTGTTCAAGATGACAAGAATACTGAAAAATTTATGAAACCCTTCTCTGCATTTTTAAATGCTTTGCATCTTTAAATTTTTGAAAAAACTCTTTAACTCCACTGATGCCAGATTTAACACAGGAACCCTTCTCTGCATTTTTAAATGCTTTGCGTCTTTTAATTTTTTGAAAACACACTTTAACTCCAGTGATGCCGGATTTAACACAGGGGTTCTCTGTGTGTGTTGGTGTGTGTGTCTGTGTGTGTTATTCCAATTTATGAACACTTTGGGGCTCTTTACTCTGGCTCTTGAAAGTATGTAAATAAATATGGACTAATTCAGCCCATATTTATTCATTTGTCCGAAGACTATGCACATCCCTGCTACCATACAATGAAAACAATGCAACAAGAGATGGTGAGAGAACTAATAATGTCAAAACAGAATTGGAAAATAAAAACAATGCATTGCAGGCCATGTGAAAGGCCATGCTGAAAAATCAGAACGCCGTAATAGAAAGTCTTAATTTTGGGGCTAAGCAAGTCTTTCCCACATTCCAACCCACATCTCTCCTTCTTTCTTCTTCTTTCCTTTTAACTTCCTTGCTTGTGCTATATTTTCTGAAAAATCAATAAAAATGTTTCCAAAACAAGAAAAAAAAAGAGAAAGGGAAGGGGTGGAAAGAGCCTTGCATCTTTTAGATCCTGCAGCACTACAGTCACCTAGGCAGTCTTAAAAGAAACCCCACAAACCACTTCCAATATTGAACAACTGTTCAGGGAAGAACAGACCAGTGAAGGTGTCCCTTAAAGATAATTCTTCTCAAAAGCGTTAAAAGGCTTTAAAAAGATGAAACTGTCTGCCCTAGCTCTGAATTGTAGTGATGACTATGACGACAGTAAAAAGCACCATTATCTTGCAATTAGTGGCAAAATACTTAATTAGCATACTGATAATAGCCTCTGTATTATCATTTGATATATTTAGCAAATTTTAATAAAACAGCCTAATTTTGTGATCAACTATCATATGCAGTAAAAAAACCTATATCCATATTTTGGAGATACCTTTACTAAAGTAACTGAAACGTGAACACAGGTTTTTCATTATCTTCAGATTTTTCCATATAGCAATATGAATTTTGGTATTTTTCTTATGACCAAACAGTGTCCTTTCTTTTCAGTAAAAGATCTGCTATCCTAATGAAATAATTATATCCTCCAATATATAATATATCCAGATATATTCTAGTCATTTACAGGAATTCTCTGGAGTTTGGGATGCAGAACATCATTATGATGGGAAATCTGTTGGTTTGGTCTGACATTTCAAAAAGCCTCTCTAGCTTGTGGAACTCATTGTTACAGGATAGTATGCAGGCAAAGAGTATAACAGGATTAAGGGAAAATAAACACTAAGTGGATAAATAGCAAGCTAATCCACAGATTCATTACAGAGGCTTGTCCTTTATTTGTTTGTTTGTTTATTTATTTATTTATTAAATATATAAGCCCTCATCATGTTATGGCTTGAGTCATAAGCATGGACCGAAAGGCAATCAAGAATTGACTGTGGGAGCCGAATAATCCAGTGACTTCCACCCACAGGGAATTTTCCTGCTTTTTTCCCCTTCCTGAGGAGATCACTACCAGCCACTCTTTGAAACAGAATCTAGGACTAAAATGGTCTTTTTGTTGGATCCAGAGTGGTTAACGCTACTTCCAAGTGAGTGCAAGCGCACAGAAGTGAAAGGACCCTGCTGTTCCTGGGGCCCCAAAGGAAGAGGTAGGTGGGCAGCATCTGAGTCTCTCTCTAGAGTGTGTTAATCCTTGCTTTCGTTCTTCTCATTTGAAATAAGTCTTTAGGTTGAAATGCTACTTTTTAAGAAATGTGAAGTAACGACCAGGATTCTCTGTATTTGCCTGGTACCTTCCCCTTAGTGAAATATTAACTGTTCTCAGTGATTATCGTATTATCTGGTCTGAAGGCCTCTGAGTGACCTAGTGTGATTCTAAAGGCCACTCCACACATACCTGTTAATTGTTTTAGATACACAATTGAGAAAGTAACATGTACATGAGAGGCATGTGGATTCTTATCCCCTTCTCCCGGGTGAATCTAGTGACTACTTACTCCAAAGAAAGTTGGACTGGCTGTCTTTTTTTGACTACAAATGCACTAAGTATCCCTAGTGGCTTCCTTTCCCTCACTGTTTCCATGCAGGAGCCTCCCATAATCTTCATGTTAGTCCCAGCAGAATGAAATCATAAAGGATGTGCAACCATATTGTTTTCCCCAAATGCTACCTTTGCCTCTTTTTCCTCCCTCTTCCCTTAAATCCCTTTGTTGTCTCTCCGTCACCTTTGAATTTGGAATGTAAATGTCCTGGGTTCAGGAATCTATTTCTTTTTTCTTTTCTTTTTCTTTTGGTGCTGTTTGTCTTACGTTGTCTTGTATATTGACATGCTGTGCTAGAACTGGCTAAGAAGAGTGTGAACAATGAATTGTTATGTCCCTGGTTCAAATCTTGCCTTTCAAATTGACTGGGCAGCCTTATGCAAATTGCAGTTTTCTCAGGGTTGTAACCCAAAATATGTCCATCAACTAGCAGAATGGACCCTGCTGTGCAAATCTATTCTTGCTCCCACTGCCCTGCTCATGTACTCTGAAATCTTCTCCAAAGGATTGGGAAGCTGTTTGGAGCAGATGGGTTGCTCAGAAGCTGAAGGGAGGGGGAGAAAGAAGGAGACATGCCATTGCATGACTGGAAGTCCGCTTAAATGACATTGGATGTCACCCTTGGCAGTAGCCCCTATGGGGAAAATAATGCAATTGATCCCTCTTGTTTGGGTGGTGTGAGATTAATTTACAGTACTTATATCACACCAACTTCTGCATTTAAAGCAAATTATCAGCTCCCAATTACTGAGAAGCATCTACAGGTCACTTGCAATTTCATTTACAAATGGTAATTAAGAAAAGGGAACGACCCTTAAATGTAAAGTGTGACACTGGAGACTAAAGCCAAGATCATCCATACTCTGGTCTTCACAATTACAATGTACAGATTTGAAAGCTGCATAATGAAGGAAGCTGACAAGGAGTGGGGAAAAATAATTTCATTCAAAAATGTGGTTATAGATACCATGGAGCACAAGGAAAACAAAAAAAGTGAGTTCCAGCTCAAATCAAGCTTCAGCTGTCTGTAGAGGCAAAAATGACTAAACTGACACTATCTTATATGTATATATATGGAGAAGATAAGACTCACTGGAAAAGACAATAATTGTGGGGAAAGTGAAAAGCTGTAGGAAAAGAGGAAGACCTAGCGTGAGATGGATTAACTCAATAAAACAAACCACATCCTTGAGTTACCAAAAGATGAACAGAGCTATTAAAGACAGGATCTTCTAGAGGTCACTAATGGCGTCACCATAATATGGAAGCAACTTGCCAACACATAACAAAAGCAAAAATAATAAATTATGGTAATGAAATTAGTTTTACAAATGTGCCATGGCCCATCCTTTCTCTCTCAGGCAGTGATATGGTCCAAAACAGAAGTTTTTTTGGCTACAGGAGGTGGGACAAAATAGCTGATGAGAGATCCACCTGTACAGGAGGTCTAGGAGACAGATACTCTGCTGCAGTGCCTGAGAACACTTAATAGACTGAAGATAATAGGTGGATAAGGAATGATTGGAGATGTGGGGGGGGGAGGTTATATTTTTACATGTGAAAATCCCGTAATCCTCCAAACAACATAGCTATTGGCCATGTTGGCAGAGGAATCTTGGAGCTGTAATCCAAAGATGTAGCTTTTCCAAGATTCTTCAGTGCACAAATAAGCTGTGATGAAACTGCACAAAGGAATAACAAATAACCTCCATTCAAAATATCATTTCAGCACTGCTTTGCCCCTCCTTCATCCTAACTGTGTAAGAACTGCATTAAAAGAGGCTCTGGTAAAGCCATGCAGTTTCCAAACCCGGAAGAACACCTTTTCCGGGCCAAATCTCCTGCTCTGTCCTCCTGCTCTACCTCTCACAGCATGCATGCATACTTGTTTGAGGATTTTAGTCTGGGCTACAAGGATATCAAATGTTGTGGCAGTGATTATTCTATAAGCAGTTTAGAGAAATGATATGAAAGGAATGGAGTGCCATAAGTGATAAGAAGATCCCAGAGGGATTTTGTTGTTGTTGTTGTTTTGGTTTATCTTACCTGCCACTTTCATCAAGCTAGACACCTTCATCAACATATTTCCAAGACACTCTTGCAGTATCTTGTACTTCTCAGCTTCTCTCCCTTGGAAAGCCAGACGGGCAACAAGAGAGGATTCCTTCTTCTTCTTCTTCTTCTTCTTCTTCTTCTTCTTCTTCTTCTTCTTCTTCTTCTTCTTCTTCTTTCTAATGGAAAAAACACAACTGGAAAAAGCAGGCGGGACTTCAGCACTATGTGTTACCCCATCCTCCAAGGCACCGGCCATCAGGATATAAAGTTAGCAAAACAGAAGAAGAGAGCTACACTGTCTGCTGACTGATTTTTATTCTGTTCAGCAGACTTTTTCAAGAACAGACATGAATTAAAACTTTCCCCCCTCTATATTTGAACGAATATATATTATTATGTTGATTTATGCATCAGAAATGCATAGAGGACTGATGGGTTTCAACCTTGTACTGGTAAGTCCTGAGGTAAAATATCTTCAAGAGTTGTTTTAAAAACTCAATACTTGTCTTGACTAAGCAGTTGGGAGACTGGGAGGAAAGAAGAACTAAACTATCGTATCTGTTTGGGTACCTACCCTTCCTTCCTTCCTTCCTTCCTTCCTTCCTTCCTTCCTTCCTTCCTTCCTTCCTTCCTTCCTTCCTTCCTTTTTGCGTTCCTTTCTTCCTTTTTAAAGTATAAGAATTACTGACAAGAACCCCGGGAACTCCTTCTTCTCTGAAGCTTCATCAGTTTTATGTAACTGCATTTTGCAATGGGACAAGGGCAAGGGTGGGGTGGCGGCAGCAGGAGTGAAGCCACAACATAAATATACTAATTTACAAATAGATTGTGATGGAAAAAATACTGTTAACTCATAAAATGACCTTTATTTTTTCCGGCTGAGGATTTAAGATAAAGGGTATTAGTTAATCAGATTTTGCGAAGCAGATGTTAGGTGATTTACAGAGAGGAGTAAATGAGGGAACTTTCCATTTATAATCATCACTGAAAACTAAGTAACATATTGCATGTTTGCATGTTTCTTTGTGACTTGGCAAAGACACGGCACATTTGTAGTCTGACAAAGATGCTGACAAATAGTCCCAGGCTGTGGATAGGGTCAGGAGGCTACCAGGAGTCCCTGGTTTTATTTCCACATTTATCCATAAGTAAAAATTTGCATGCCTTTTTCTCACTTTAGCAGTACCAAAAATCCAGTGGAAAATAGGAGCTATATGCATAGCAGAGGCTGTGGAGGGTCGGAGGTTGGATTTGTCTCTGATGCATCTGTTTAGGACACACAGAACAGTATAGTACTGTACTGATCCATGCTGATCTTCTGATAATCCACACAGTAAATACACAGGGCATGGAGATATTCTCCATTCCAAAGTTTACTGATGTGAATGGGTGCTTCTTCTCAGTGCCCTTCAGTACTCTTGAGATACTGCTTTTCTGCAATTAGCTGGAAGCAGAATGAAAAGATTCCGCATAGTACTTGATATAGTGTTGTGTCATCCAGTAATACCCATCTCCATGACCCATAACATTCCTATAATTAAATTTAGTAAAGGTCCCCAGCAATATTAGCGTTTTCTAGTATGGGTTCAACCATATTACTACTTCCTCTTCAATTCATCTATGAGGATTACAGGTATTTTTACCTTATTTTCTCACCTTTTATTCTCTGCATGTGTGTGTGGACAGTTAACTACTGGTTTGTTCACTTTATCTAAAATAGTGTTAATTTGGCTAGGATATATTTTTAAAGAAAAGTATAATTTAAGCTTGCACGTGCACATGGCCATGCATACATGCCATGGACAATAAGCTGACTAAATTCAACCTTAATTAAATCTTCATTATTAAAGTATTAACAAAATCTCAGATTGCTTTAAAGATGAAGAATAAAAAATAGAAGAAAATTTTGCAAACAGGATTCTTTTAATTTAAGACAGGGTCACCTTTGATAATAGCCTTTTGTTTCTGATCATGGGGTTTTCTTGGCAAAGATACTGGAGTGGAATTGCCGGTTCCTACTCCAGGTGGATTGCGTTTAGTCGGAACTCTCCACTATGACCTGTCCGTCTTGGGTGGCCCTGCACGGCATAGCCCATAGCTTCTCTGAGCTGCTCAAGCCCCTTCGCCACGACAAGGCAGCAATATCAAAATCAGATTGAT